GGGTGTGTGCGCATGTGTGTGGTCAAGGTTCTGCCAAGTCTCAGCTCCTCACCCCCTTTGTTCCAAGGAGGGAACAAATAAGTGTGGAACTCGCTTGTTCCCATGTGCCCACTGTCTTTTATAATGGTGCAAAGTGGACTCTTATTCCCCTGTTTAGAGTTGTAGCTCAGCTCACTAAGAAACAAGTGATCACTGGGCTTCATATCAGTTATGTTTGTACTTGTGTGTGTGTGTGTGTGTGTGTGTGTGTGTGTGTGTTGGGGGGGATATTACAAGCAGTTCTGTAGGGTCCTAAAGAAGGACCACCCCAGGGAACATCCTTTAATTAGTATCTGCATAGTTTTGGATTGGAGCCTTGCCTTATCTAATTTGTTTTAAGACTTCTGTTGTAAAGCAAGGAAATACATTGGAGGTTGTTGCTAGTTTTATCAAAATTGATCCGACGGTGGGATCTTTTTGGAAGGGACTGTGTCTGTCCTATGATTGTCGAGTGTCTAGCACTTATAAGGTTAAAAAACAGGACTAGCAATGGACTGTAATTAGATTTTTAAAGAGGATATTTGAATATGAGATGCTTATACAATACAGATCTATGTTTTGGGTGGCAACTTCATAAGCAAATGGTAAAGCTCGACTAATTTTACCCCAACTGGAAATGAGACATTAGTGAGGACTGTATGCAGATGGGGTTGGGTTCCCTGGATAGGGTGCTAGAAAATGCAGCTGAGCTTCCAGTACTATACAGTAATGTTAATGTAGGATCAGCCTCCTGTAAACACTGAGATCTCAACTCCCCCAAATCTTTTTGATCTCATAATTGTCACAGAAACCATATGAAAACATGCAGCTATAAAATAGAGGTGATATTGTCACATGCATAGGACAAGGTCCTTTTCTGTTCTGGATACTTTGCACCTCTGAAAAGCCATTTCTAATTGGACAGCTAAAATTTCTCCAGTTGGCAGAAGTGGCTCCTGTGTCAAGTAGCCCCTCCACTTGACCCTGGTGTAAGGAGTATGTCAGTGCCTGTCAGGTGCAGTATGGAGTTTGCATGCATCCTGCCAGTTCTCAGTTGGTGTATGGTCCCTTGGGGATGATAGCCAGGTGACCTGTCATCTCAAGATGCCTTGAAAGAATCAGAGAGTTAATTATAAACACCTTGACTGCTACTTCCTCCACAGATTTTTAACTCCAACACTATCTGCTTTCAGTCTGGAAGACGATGCTTCTTGTTTACAGCCTGCAGATCCTGGAATCCACAGTAAGAATTTTTCCAGTCCAGTGTTTCCTGGGACCACTTCAGTTTGCTTGCACTAGCCCTTCTTAAATGTTATATATGTTACAGAAGCTATATTTTTTATTTGTCAGATATAAAAGGCTGGCTAGCTACGTAGAAATTTTGAAATTTCTAATAAATTTCATACCTCCTACCTGACATTTTTTTCTTTTAAATCTTTGGCTAGTGGAAATATGTGTTTTTTACTGGAGTAATGGACCAAACTAGGGAGTATGTACTGGACGGAAGTCATGCAACGTGGATCAGGAGAAGCATCTGGGGGGAGGATTGTTGCAGAAAAGTACCTGAAGCCATCAGCCTGGTTTATGACTGCAGTTAGTTTTTTTGTTTGTTAGTTTGTTTTTTTAAGAGTAAAATGAATACTGGCAGGATTCTGCAGAAGATCTGAACATTAATGAAAATGTAATGCTGTTAATGTGTAAGACACTGCTTATTCTCTGTTTTGGAGTTCTGTGTTCGAGCTTGCTCATACTCCCCTCCATCTCCCCCCTGGAAAGATGCAATTGCTTTGGAAAAGAAATAACAAAAAGTAATCAGCATGATTCTGACCCTTAACAATCTCTCTCGTGAGGAAGAGATGCAGTTGAGTCTTGATTTTTTTGTTTTTGTTTTTGTTTTTGTTTTTTAATGAAGTTATCCCTAATTACATGTGGCACGATGCCCTCCTGCCACTTTGTTGAAATGACAGTCAGCAAAAAAGATAAACATTTAGATGTTTTACAGGGTACAGTTCATCACCTCCACCTTCATTACTTGGGCCCAAAACTGTCCTTGGCTTTTGGGGTGGTGATAAACTGTGCCTCATAGTTGATCCAAATACAAAGAATGATGCGTAATGGAAACAAATGGAGCCTCCACAATATTCTAATATAATAAAAGCTGTAGCGCTTCCAGCTGTGTGTCTGTCTGTTCACATGTGTGGCCTGGAGCCTTATTGACAGACAGACACACAAGGAAGGCAGAGGTGGTGGGGACCAAGGTGTGCTTTGCTGCATGGGGAGTGTGGTGGCAGGGGGCATGACTTGTGGCCCTGTTGGGTGGGTGTGGTTTGCGGCCCTGTTGGGGGACATGGCGTGTGGCCTCGGTGCTGCAGGAAGAGGGCATGGGGTGTGCGGGCAGCACCCACTAGCTGCAGCACGTGGCTGCAGGGCAGGGCACGTTCTCCGCACCTGAACCCCACGCAACACCCTGCAGCCGTGCCCCGCCCCCAAGGGTGTGCGACTGCCGGCTGTAGCTGTGGGGTGTGCTGGGTGGTGGGGGTGAGGGGAAACTGGGTGTGGGAAGGGGAGGGGAATCATGGCAGCCTGCCTGACACCCAGCACCGCACCACACGCGTGTGTTGCTGCCGCCCACCCCACCCCATGGCAGGACTGGCATGGCACCACGCCACTGTCAAAGCTGGGGCAGCAAAGTGGGAAGCAGAGGCTGTCTGCTTCATGCACAGACTGGGAGCCATGTGCCCCCCTGGCACCACCTCTGGAGGAGCTGCTGGGCTCCAAGTGTCCAATAGCCTAGCCCGGCTGGGCCACATTGACCCTGACTGGGTTGTGGGGCCATCAGAGCCCAGTGGCTCATGCAGAGGCATGGCACCAGGGAGCCCAGGGGGTGGCGTGGGCCCCACTTCATCTGGATGCAGAGTGGTGGGTGGTGTTGCGCATGGCTGGACGCGGAGCAGTAGGTGGTGGCGCTCCATCCCCACTACCTGCCTGTCATTCTTGATGGGTACTTTGGTAGTATTTTAATAATAATTATCAAACCTCGAGCACAAAAAGGATCTTGCAACTTGCAATGACTGGGCAGACTACTTAGCCCATGCAAAGCCTTATTGACTGCAGTGGAGCACTATGAGGGAACAGCAGTACACTTTGTACTACAATTGTAGGACCAGTGCCCAAATAAACAATGAATCACATAAACGGAGGGCCAGACAGGAACTCAAGCAATCATCTAGTCCCTCAGCCCCCTTCCCTGAGGCAGAATCAAGTCTTTGTAGACCATCCCTGACAGATGTTTGTCCAATCTGTTCTTAAAATCTTGAGTAGAGCTGGAGGAATAATTCAAACAGCAAAGGTCAAAAGTTGTCATGAATGAGAAAATGACTTGGATTAGCTGCTCTTTGTGACACTGCATTATCCAGATGTTTGTGAGAGTTCAGGTGGCTAGTGTGTATTCAGAGAAAAAGACTCTAACATCCTGAAGTCTGGATTAAGTTTAGCTGAGAACTAGTAACCGAATTACATTTTGAGCATTCACTATTTGTATGTGGTGGTCACTATAGGTGGTCGAAGGCCGGGGCTCATGGGGCTTAGCTACCCCCACCCCCATGAGTGACTGGTGCCTCCTGAATCTGGGGGGGCAGCTGCAGAAGCCGTCGACCCTGTCAGGGGAGGCACCAGCCCTACCATCACTGTTGGCCATCGGGGGGGCATGCACACCCCCTACCAGTCGCCTGGGCCTACCCCACCTCCCCCGCAACTAATTTTGCAGCGGCTGGTGACAGCAGCAGCACCATGGTGTCGCTGCAGCGTCATGCCATGCCCAGTGCTCCTGTTACGTGCTTCTTCGCCAGCATGCACTGACCCCTCAATGGCCTTCAGCTCCACACCCTGAGTAATATTTTCACCTCCCATTACCAATGGTTTTCCATTCAAAAGTTTTCAGTCATCCAGTCAGGAACCAGTAAGAAAACTGTCTTTAGTGACCAATCGCGTGTAGTTAAAGTGAACAGTCTTCAGAAAATACGTAAGATAAGAATCATTTGCTTGACTAATAACAAGTATATTAAAGAATCAATCCTGATTTCTATCAATCATTTGGTGAGAGAGAGAAAAAGCTAAATTTGCTTGTAAGAAATAGTTTGATCAGCTCTTATCTTAAGCAGGCAAAATGTTTGGGTATGGTTATTTCATGCTACAAAGACCAAAGGTAATATATGCTGGGAAATGGTCTTGCTTGGTAAGTCTGACTACTTGGGGTAAATGTTCCTTTGGAAGAAAAACACTGAAAGAAAGCAAAGAAGCTGGGAGTGTGTTAACATACACGTGACAGTCCTTTCATCATAAGGTCTGTTTTCCTGACCTCTGATCATGCATGTGGCTTTCCTCTGCACCCTCTCAAGCCTCTCCACATCCTTTTTGAATTGTAGAGCCCAAAACTCGATGCAGTACTCCAGCTGTGGCCTCACCATGACCGAGTACAACAGGAGAATGATGACCTGGGATTTGCTTGAGAAGCATCTATGGATGTGTGAAGGAGTGAGACAGAACATACAGCATGGAGGGCCGGCAGGGCTGCAGCTGCATCCCAGAAAAGAAGGAAAATACCCACCCAATTTCCGGCACAGCATCTCACTCAGGATTGGTGGAGGGAGGCCACTCAAAGGTATTTCTGGCCCTGGAGAGGGCAGAGAGGGGTCAGTTCCCTGCAGACTGCAGGGAAAGAGGAGCGACTGAGGGTCTGGGCAGGCAGAAACTGCAGAGCTGCCTAAGGAAGGCTGCGGGAGTGACCCTAAGGCAGGCTGACACCTGCAGACAAGTGACTAGTGGTAATCTCTGGAGAGGAGCCGCAGCTGAGGATCTGAAGTGAGGGAGTCCACAAGGCCTGAGAGAATCTCCGGACTGGAGTTTTTCCAGTGCAGGATCCGGAGGAGGGCCTGAAGGAAAAAATCTACAGTCACAGGTAGGGCCTTCCTGCACAGGGGCAGACCCTGAAAGACTGTGAAAGTTCATAGGGGTTCAGAGCAGGCTCACACACAGCAAAGAATGGACTAAGGGATTGTTTGCCTGAATTATGGTGATTGGGAGGTTGAGCACCTGATCATGAGAAAAGGGGACATTGTCAGAGCCTGACAAGAAGGCTGAGAAACAGCCGGGGTTTTCTGTGATTTCTTTTTGCTGTTTATTTTTGATTTTTTTTGAGCACAGGCCAAGACTGGCTCCTGGAAGGGTGTACCCAAAAGAGGCACTAGGACATCTTGGGGTAGGGGCAAATAAGGTGACAACAGGCAGCACTGCAATGGGCTGCAGAAGAATATTGTAAAACACCATCTGGAGAGGCTAGGAGAGGGTAAAGGGGTGGTTTGAAGCCCCACAGAAGACATGGGGATCAAGACCAGGCAGGATCACTGTGGGCATTGCCTCCCGGGAATATATAGGTCATCAAAGTCGTGGCAGGTGAGAAAACGCAAGATCCACTTCCTGGCAGATCTGGTGATCCAGAGCTGAGGTCTACCCTGTTGCCACCTGTAGGCAGATGAGCAAAGGGCACTACTAGCAAGCCCTATAATACCTACAGATGTCACAGGATGCAAGCCAGCATTCTGCTAACTTTACTAGCCACAGCATCACATTGAAGGCTCATGTTCATCTTGTGGTCAGTCATGACCCCCAAGTCCCTTTTGTCCATAGTGCTAGCCAGCGTAGCACTGCTGAACCTAAAAGCATGCTGCAGGTTTTTGCTCCCAAGGTGGAGAACCTTGCATTTTTCGGTGTTAAACACCATCACGTTCTCATCTACCCATTTCCTGAGCCTGTCAAGGTCTGCCTGGATCACCCTCCTGTCCTCAGGTGTGGATGCTTTACCCCAGAGTTTGGTGTCATTGGTGAACTTGGCCAGTCCGTGTCTGATATCAATGCCCACATCATTAATGAAGATGTTGAATAGTATAGGTCCAAGAACAGAGCCTTAAGGGACCCCAGTGGTCACAGGGCATCACGATGATTGTCTTCCATCAACCACCACCCTCTGGGTCCTACCACGGAGCCAATTGCCCAGCCAGTGGATTGTGGTGAGGCTGAGGCTGCAGTTAGCCAGTTTTGCCAAGAGGTGATCATGGGATACCAGATCAAAGGCTTTTTTGAAGTTAAGATATACAAAGGTGATCAGCTCATGGTCACTGTCACCCAGCTTCCCTTTGATCGTTAGGTCACTAACGATTGTCCCCCGTTGCCAGAACCAAGTTGAGCAGCGCTTTACCTCTCATCGGCCTGTAGACTTCCTGCATCATATAGAGCTCATCCACGCACGAGAGAAAGCTTTGCGACCGCACGGATTTGGCCAGGCGCTTTTCAAATGAGATGTCTGGGTAGTTGAAGCCTCCCATGACAATCATGCAGCGGGAGTGTGCGGCCTCAGCCAATTCCCTGGCGAACTCCTGGTCAAGCTCTTGATCCTGGGCAGGAGATCTGTAGTATGCTCCCACCATTGTGTCCCCTGTGTCATGTTGCCCACAGATTTTAACCCAGAGGGTTTCCATTCATCTACCCCGGGCACCAGTGTCAGCTTGCAGTTATGCTTTCTTTGACATAGAGCTACTTTCCCTTCTCTGTTTCTGTTGTTTCAATGGTGGTTCCTCACTAGCCCTTGACCTGTGTACCTCCATAATGTAAAAGACTGTTGTAAAGGGCATGTAGGAGGCCACTGATCTTTTTTTTACTGGAAGTTTTTAAGAGCAGTTTAGAGAAACACCTGTCCAAAATGGTTTTGGGTACATTTATTTCCACCTCCATTGTGGGGGAAATCTGGACCAGATCCTGGTGTCAGTCCCTTTCCACCCTACACTTGTGTGGTTCTAAATCAGTGGGCCAATTTAATACCTGGTATGACTCCACTCCATGGAATGACATTGAGACATGAACCTATTTGGTAGGATGGACATAGTTAAACTCTATAGACAGGTTAGCACACCATAAGGAACATATATGAATAAATATAAAGTGGAGGAAGGTAGCATAGAGTTAGCATATGTGTTGCAGGAAGTAGTATAAGTACTAAGAGTTTTTTAATCTCTACAGCAGCTTCTCAAATGGTGCAAATTGGTGAAGCTCTATAAAAAATCTGTGGAGCCAAAGTGATTTATGGCACCTGAGCATTTGGACTGAAACAATCTTAAT